GGCCCCTTCACTTCTCCTGGTGGACAAGCGAGGAAGTGTCTGGCCAGAAGACGCTCTCCTTGGCAGGGCTCGCGTGTTTAAATAATAAATACCACCCCGATCTGCACCGGGGATGGCTGCTTTTATTTTCTGTCTACAACCCCACGGCGTGCTAATAAGAGGAGAAGATTTTTTTAGAAACTGTCATAACAACAACAATAATTGTGTGCTTTAAAGCAAGCCCTTTTCTTCCCCTAGCAATATTTGAAAGCGTTGCCCCTGGAGTTTTCTCTCCCCATAACAACAACAATAATTGTGTGCTTTAAAGCAAGCCCTTTTCTTCCCCTAGCAATATTTGAAAGCGTTGCCCCTGGAGTTTTCTCTCCCGTGGCCTTTGGCGGGGAGAGGGCGATGGCTTGAGTGTGCCAGAGCACCTGCCCGAGCGGGGAGCAGGGAGCGGGGCACGGGGTCGGAGCCGGCATGGGGTGGCCCTGTGAGGGGCTCATTGCCCCCACACCCGCTATGTGAAAAATAATGCGCCTGGAAATCGCTCAGAAGGTAGAAGAGTTTGGAAACGGTCTCACCCAGCGCGTTCCCAGAACGTTGCCTTGTTCTTGTGTTTCCCCGATTGCTAGCCGTGTTATCATGGCTGTTTATCCAGGAAGAATTAGTAGAAGTGGTTAAATGAGCTGGCGTTAAAGTGACTGGTGATAAATATGAAGCTTTGCTTCAAAAACGTAATAGGGATACAGATTAGAGTTGGCTAAAGTGCTCTTGCATGGGGGAAGCAGCCTGGAGAGCCTGGAGTTGCAGAGGAACCCTCTGCACGGGGCCTGGTGCAAACGGTCGTGATGGTCAGACTAAGTAGAAATGGCAGAAAAAATGGGGTGTCTTCTGTTTTCGTAACTCGGCGTAGCACTCAAAGGCTCTCTAGGTGTGGATCACGGTGATTCTGATTCACAGGGGCTGCGGGGTAAGGAGGAGGAGCTTTTGGAGAACTGTGATTGTAGTTTAATTGAGCGTTAGATTAAGTTGGTATTATAGTTACTCTTTACAGAAGAGACACGAGAGCTCTTACATTATCGTACTCGCCTTGCAGTTTTCATTTGAAACGTCTGAGCCTTCTCCTACCTTACAGCAATTCAAAGGATGCGGTCGCAGGTCATTAGAATAAGGGAAGGATCTAAACTAAATATTAAAGTATTTAGAATATTATTACAAAAGGAATACTTACATGTGATAAAAGGATAGAAAAAGGATTAGACTATTTCCCAATCTTTTTGTGTTCATATATATATATTTATACACGTCTTATATTTGGGTCCTATATTTGATTGCGGACAGGGAGGTGTAGATCTGACCAATTTACTGATGCATCAGGAGTACACGTTGCACCTTGCACCCTTCCGCTGCGGGTGCATCTGTGTTTTCGCATGCAGTGTGCGAGGCATACTTTTTAAAATATGCCAAAGAGATATACGCCCTTATTTACTGGTGAATTAATTTGAAACTCAGTTGAAATAATTTCGACCATTTAAAAAAAATGATTTCATTTTCCAAATGTAACTTGCATGCAGCTGTCCAGTCCTTTTAGACCAAAGAAGCTGCATGTATCATACAGTGAAACACTTGACTGTGATATGACAGAATGGGAATTATCTCTGAAAAGGAAAAAAAAGACAGATTTGGGCTATAGAAATCTCGGCTAAACAGTAACTTGAAAGTAAAATAGCTCACAGACAACACACTTTTTGAAGTTTTATTGGCAATAAATAATATGTTGATGATAATGTTTTGAGTGGTGTTTTAAGTGTGTCATAATTCTCTCGCAGAGATCTCTAGTTAAAAAGTACTCTGGATATAGCACTGTTTTAATTTAAAAAAACAGATATAAATCATATGCAGGAGAGGAAGTATGTTATAAACAGTGCTGGGTTTGATTATAATTTTTGGAAATAATGTTGGCTTAGTATTAGATTTGAATTTTAAGTATTTATATGTACACGCACTGGGGAGGGAGTCCATGTTGAGGGTACTAACTAGTAAGATTGTTAATGCAAACTGGTTTTGTGGGGAAGAGTATTAGACATGTACCTATTAATATAGCTCTAACTATCTAGTGATATTCCAGCATAAAAGAAACAGATATTGTGCAGCCGGGTCCAAATCATATTCACTTCTTAATCCTAATAGCCAGCGGTACTTTTATTTGAGTAGGCTCGTCAGGATTTGGCCCTCTGTTTATGTGTCTGCCTGGGAGTTTTTACTGAAAGTCGTAAAGACCCAAACTGCCACGTTAGGTGTTACAAGTGGCTTCTGTATGATGCTGATGGTAGCAAAGAGCCTTAGTGGACCTAAAGGCAGGGGAAGAAAAAGGGACGTGAAGTCTAAAACCTCTCCCCAGTAGCACCACAGTAGTTACGGGTCTGTCAGCATTTCCACTCCAAACCCCAATTTTCAGAGTTTGTAACTCAGCTGTTTTAAATAGCTTCAAGCTGAAACCTGCTGTATAAATTGTCAGCCCAGATGTATATTTTGAAACAAAAAGTAGTGCAAATCAGTTATTCTGTTTTAAGTTACAGAACATTAAAATATTTTTAATAGTATCAGATGCTCTTTTGGCAATCTCTGGAGAAGGCGTTCTCAATACGGAAGATTTTACATTCAGAGGCTGTTTGAATTCAGTGTTTCGCAAGAAAAGTTGTTGAAGTGGTAGATATCGATGTCTGAGAGGAACTATTTAGCATGTACGCCAGCTTTTTTTTGAAACAAGCATTTTACTCTGCAGAAAGTCTTAGTACCTGCTGTTGTATAGTAGTTTTGCTTCGTGCTTATGACTTCCGTCTTTAGGGTACATACTTTGGCCAGTTCAAATCCCACTGGACCGAAACTGGGCAAACAGGTTGCCTAACCAGACGAGAGTTGTGTTATGCAAAAAATACATAGTTATTTTCAACTTGTAAGAATTGGTTTTATTTTGTGGTTTCATCTGACTTCATGTACCTTTTGGAGCTTTAGCTAAAAAAAAAAGCAAAAGCAAAATCTACCTTTAATCACCAAAATGTGTAGGTAGTTTAATATGGAAAATAAAGATTTTGAAATACTAGAGCTATTTATGTTTGAAGAATAGGTAAGGGATGTGCACTGTGCCTACTTTTAATCTTTAATTTTTTACGCAGTCCTTATTCATTTCACAGTGCACTTACAATCCTCTTTCTAAGAATATGTAAATAAATTTGGATTGATATGTGGCATAAAATTACCAAGTCAAGGTTTATGCCAGCAGTCTTTCAGTATGTAAAGTTACTTTTTCAGATTCTCAAAATGGTGTGTATTTCTCCAGGTTTCAAACTTGTTTTGCAAAGCTTTTTTCTAACCAGTGCTGTTATGTATATGTGCAATAGCCTTCTTCTATTTCATGGCAAAAAAGTATGAAATTATGAAAAGAACAAGCATTTTACTCCTGTTGTGTAGCAGGGGAGCTTCCCATGTAATAGGACTTTCTTTTATTAGCCAAAGATCTATTTTCACCTCTGATTTCAGTTTGTCTTTTCCTTTGGGCTTCTCCTAATGAGACGAATAGCGATATTGCATCATACTGCATCAAAAAGCCGGTGCATTTTAGTAATGACGCAGTTCTTGATCAGGCGCGATCGGCCCAGTGACTCTGGCAGCGGCACGTGCAGTTTCAGGCTGATGTCTAAGCTGACGAAATGACATCGTCGAGTGGAAAGGGTAGGGAGGAAACCTCTGACAAGCAACGGGGGACAGGGGGGCCTTTTAAGAGGTTTTGCTCCCTCGTGCCCAGGTGTTGCAAGCTGTACCCGTGTTCGGGAGACGGCTTGAGACGGAGATGTGATGCTGCTGCCTGCTCCGTGCTCTGGTTACCTAGAGAGAAGGAGGTGAGCTGAGGCTGCAGTCATTTCGCTCCCTCTTCCGAGGCCCCTGGCAGACTCGCACTTCCTCCTGTGCTCTCGGCTTCTTTGCATTTCTGGAGTTAATGTGATATTTTTTTTGTTTCGTGAGATATAAAAAGCATAGGTTGCAACTCCCCTGGATGCTAAGGCTGTCCAGAGATAACGTGGTCTATCGCAAACTGGGAAGGGAGTGTTTTATAAGTAGCCTCAAGCCCCACGCTTTAGAGTTTAAGCCACTATCCATTTATTAAGGGTCAGAGTCAGCTCTATAATCTGTTCAGCAGATTATTATTTGTTATTTGGTTATTATTTGTTATTCCTTACACCTCACTTTGAAGCCGTCAGACCTGGTTGCTGTCAGACCCAAGGCAGTGAGCTAGGGGGACCTTAGATCTTATCCACAACGGCGGTTCCTGTGTTTTTCTGTTCAGGGATGTTCATATCACTTTAAAGTAAAATCTTTGCTTGATAGACGGAGACCTCAAAGTGTTTTGTGGCAAAACTCAGTTTACAGTTTTGGGTGGTATTACCTGGTGTTTTATGGAGAAACAGAAAGGCACCAGGGTAGATCCTTTTTATACAGCGTTTCAGCTTTGCTTTCTTCTTTCTCTTCAATACTTCTTTTAAATAAGACGAGCTATAATTTTCAGTAATATAGTCTATTTTAAATATTTTCAGATTTTGTATACCTTTGTCATTAATTTGTATTGTTTTAGAGAAACATTGTACAGTGCACCGGGCCACATAATGCTCTCCCTATATATTCAGAACTCCTCGTTCTTTCCACTTAATTAATATTAAAGTCCAACCTGCAATTATTAGTTTCAGACAGGATCATTTATGGGAAAGACGTTTCAAGCAGGGCTTATGACAAAATGTAATATGTATTTCAGGAGACAGAATAAATTACTCTGAATAATATAAAAAGTCATATCTGACCATGTAAACTGGTAGAAACTGCAAGGGGACAGACTTTGTATCTCAAGATGATTTTTTTTTTCAAGTTAGGGCTCAGCCATGCAATATTTGTGAATCTCTTTTTGTTATAAATTTATTTCCAGCATCAGTATTAGCTAACTGGGCAAAAGGAAATTAATTTCTTGATACTTTTGTGGACTTTTTTTACCCGATGTGAAGAAACATATGTTTTCTTCCTAGTAACTTAGCATTCCTGTTTAACTTGATTTTTACTTTTAAAAGTCACGGTGCAGTAACACTGTAGGTATCCCTGGTGTTTTCAAATTAGAAGACAGGAGCTGTCTACTCCGTGGCATTTATCTAATCAGATGTTGGAGCACTACACAACCACTGAAGCATAAAAGCGAGACTATCAGCTAGCTGAAACGTAAGGAGAAATACTTTAATATCTTCTCTTCACCCGTCCTGGAATGTGAGGGAGGTATCGGCGCTAACCACATGCAACTCTTGCGAGTGCTATGAAAATTTACATGCCTGCGAGGAAATACAGCCTTTGTTTTATATTGCATCTGAAGAGTTTGAATGCCAGCCATGAAGCGCTCTGACGCAGCAGCGTGTTGGGTGGGGAGCTTTGTCTGCTAATGCCCCCGGTGCCACTCCTGGGATGGGTAGATGGGGATTTCTCTCTAGCTTGAAGCGTGAGGAGCTCCAGGGTCAGCGTGATGGGTGCAACCAGCAGGGACGTACAACCGAATCTGGGTGATACGGCTGCTAATAGTAATTTCTAACTTTCCATTTCAAATGCTCTCCCGCGTATGATTTATGGATATGAGCCATGCCTCATGTTTTCTCGCTGCTCACTGGTTGCTAAGAACAAAGTTGGCCTTCAGGAAGCTTTAAACCATACACTCTACATAAGATGTTGAATGTTTCTGAAGAAATGTAACAAAGAAGAAACTCCCTATTAGACTATGAGAAAGGGAGACAATACAAGATGTTTCTTTGTTTGATGTGGCACTTTGTTCTGTGTCCAGCTAATACATGACTCTTCACCACAGTGGGCTGGAGAAGCTGCCACAGAGCTTCGTAATGAGCATGGCAGCCTGCAAAGCTGGGATGGAGACACGCGTTTTCAAAGTGTTGCTTCACGAGTTGTGGTTGTCTTCCCCTTTTAACAGGTGGTGGCCTTAGGAGAAGTGCCTGATGGGACGGTGGTCACCGTCATGGCTGGAAACGATGAGAACTACTCTGCAGAGCTGCGAAACGCTTCTGCTGTGATGAAGAACCAGGTGGCCAGATTTAATGACTTACGATTTGTGGGCAGAAGTGGAAGAGGTAGGCGGCTGCATTTTACATGTCCATAATGGAGCAAGAACAATGTCTAGACGTCAGACTTACTTTGCAATGAAATACTGATTAATTTGTAAATAAATCGTTGTCGGCCTTTCATTTGGAGGGATGAATGCGTGCTTTATTTGCAAACTTCAGCATTTGTGGAAACCAAGTTAAGAGTTTCTCTTAAGTTTTTCTGACTCCTCACGTCTCTGTACGTTTTCACGAGACACAGGTTTTGAAAAATGATTCGCAGAATACCTGCTTCCCTGTTTTAATCACACAGTAAAGGTAGAAGGAAATGGGGGCGTTGGTGATCTGAGTTATGTGTAGTCAGAGAGTGTATCTCAGGCCACGATAATGAGAGATGGAGAATTCCCTTTAGCAGTAGAGCTGCTTCTGAAGTTGTTGTAAAAGACCTATAATTAAGGGGATTTTGCATATCACATGTGCTATAGGTTATATTCTTTAAGGACTTACATCTTCAAGGGCTTACAATTATTGGTGGAAAGCTTTCTAGTGACTTCCTTGCCCTTTACGATCAAACTGCGTATGACCTGCAAAAATAAGCCATAGTTTTCTTTTTAGTAAACTGGTTGACTTTTTATGAATTGCTGGTAAGCTTGGACTTGAACTAAATTTAACCTTTACTTTAAATTACAGGGTAACTTTCAATTTTTTTTTTTTTATGTTTTTTTGAAGATGTAGAGTGCTGTCATTGTCTTCCAGCTGTTTAGGAGCTTCCTATAATCTGGAAAACTGCACTGCACTCATAGAAAGACTTTGTAATCATTGCAAGTTTGCAAGAATTCCTCTTTCAGAGTCTTGTAGCTGCTTTCAAATTTGAGGTAATGATTGAAAAGATAGCTTGAAGGAAGGTGGCACTTCAGTTTTTGCTGCAGGAATCTTCGGAGGGATTTGTTGTATCAGTCGTTGATTCAACCTACATATTTTTTCCTTTATGTACTTGAAGTAATTATTCATTTTTTAAACTAGCCCTGCATGGGCCAAAACAAAGCAATAGAAGTTGAACAACTGTGTTGGGGAATTAGCAATAAAGCTAATTTTATAGCCATATTCTTTAGAAAGCAGTTGTAATTCATCTTAAGGAAGGAAAGAGTATTTGTCCAATAAAAAATTAAATATACGACAGAGGCTTAGATAGTCTAAATCAGTTGCCCCACTTTTACAATTGCAAGTGCTTTGTGAAAGTGATTCCATAAGCATGGCTTACAATGGCTATTTTTTATTTTAGTGACCTGGCCAACAATTCTCTTTATCATTTTACAACTTGAAAAGTATCGATAATAAAGAATAACTTGAAACACAGAATAACTATCATAAAAGTAATGCAATATAAATATGGAGTTTATTGCCCTTTTGGATAAGGAGTTACCTATCTCTTCCATTTGTCTTGCTTTCTTTAAAAAAACCAGTCTGCTTTGTTATTCTGCTGATGGATTAGGTTTGAAAGTTTTCTGGCTCCATCACTACTGCTGCCTTACAGTAAAAGTTCAGTAGTGTATCAGTGTTTCAGTAGTGCTGAAAAAGAACTGAAATGTGATGTAGTACTTCTGATCTGTGAATTTCATTTGAAACCTATGATATATACTTTTTATTAAAGCATAGGAAATGAAATAGAGGGCCTAAAGCCTCAGTAGATACGGCTACAGACACATACGAACAGAAACCTCCTAAAATTTGGTTCCAGTAGTTTAATTTATATTTGTATCTAGCAGACTTGGAATAGACTTTTTCTCTGATCAATCTGGGTAGAATCTATGGAAAAGCGATAGTGTACTTTTCAAACCCTCAACATATTTATTTAAGAGACTTCAAAGAAAAACAAAGGGTGTGCACTGTTTTACTATATTGGCTTTCTGAGTTTTGGCTAGTTTCCCAAATAGCAATTTTTATATTTAAAAAAAAAAAAAGGAAGAAAAAAGACAGACTTAACTGCTTGCAGACTTTTCACGCATGGAAGATGAAGAAAGCTTCTTTTGATGAAGTGTAATTATGTCCAAACAGAGCTGACCCCCTCCCCCTATATTTCTTATGATCTTAACGGAAGAAAGTAGGGCTTTTCCTTTGAAGCAGCCGGGACTCGGTGGAGGATCTGAAATGCTGCATTCTGCTGCCAGAGGCAGGATGGAGAAATTGGTCCAGACTTGTCTTCCAGACTTAGAACAGAGAGGGGGAGAGAGAGAGAGGGAGAGAAGGAGGAAGAGTTATCATTAATGATAGATTTTTAGAACTCTGCTTAAAATAGCAGGGAAAGAAAGCAGTAGTTGCAAACAGAAGTGAGAAAGCTCCTTACATAGACAAATATCGGTAGATACAGGTCTTGAAGTAGAACAGGAAAAATAAAGTAATAAAGAAATCATTTTTCAGTGGCGAGAAACTAATCCACACCTGTTCCTGACTTTAGATTTACATCTTTCTAAACAGCTCGCTCTTTGATCTCTGTATCTCTAAATTTGATTGTGAAGTCTGAATCATCAACTTACCACTTCACCTCCTCTCCCACGTTTTTTCTTGCTTCCCAGGGCTCAATGGAGAAACTTGATTTTTATACATATTAATGTTGCTTGCCTGACAGAAGCTTCACGTTTTTGTTTGTATAATTTCTCTTAAACACCTTTTCTGGATTCATAAGAATAAGTAACCGGGGTGCTTTATGTGAATGCAGAAGTTGTTTGTATGTGGTTTTCAGGCGGTAGCTCACTTTTACAAGCCCGATCCACAGCACAGAGAAGAAAGAATTCCTGTCTTCAATAAGCAAAGGATCATAACCTTAATTTTGTTGTGTCCTGATACTTTAATCACATTAGCATCTAACTGAAAAAATATGCAACACACACAAGCTGCCGAGTCTCCTTTCAAGCTAATTTCTGGGGTTTGCCTTGTGCTTCAGCATATGTCCATCTCGTCCTCCTCTGTGTCAGCTCGGCTCACATGTGTGAATAACAAAGAATGCACAGTTTAGACACACTGAAGCAACAGTGCCAGATGACTGCTTGGCTGGGGAGTTTAATAAAAGAGAACTACAATTAGTCTTTAGCCTCTAAAAGTGGATAGTTGAAATGACTAAGGGCAATAAAGAAAGGTGATAAAAAGTGCATTAAAGGATTTCGTAGCTGAGGAGGGATATCTGTGAAATATCTGTGGAAGGCATAAGCATCACTGAAACGGGGGACCTTAAAAATTTATTTTGTTCTTAATCCCGTAATATGTAAATCATCTCTTGAAAGCTCTGGAACCTGAGTGCGCTGGCGTGGCCGCGCAGCTCCCCACGATGAAGTGATGTATTGTTTACCGAGTGTGAGGGGGCTTCCGCAGTGTTACTTCATTAGTGCTTCGGCTTGGTAGAATCCCAGTTAGGGAACAAAAACAGTTTCCCTTTCAAATTAGATGCTTACCTGTACACCTTAGGCTGGCTGAGAGGTGACAATTTAGAAGTGCTCACAGGTAGAGGTCGAAACGTAGCCCTTATATATTGAGCGCATTTTTTCTGTCCACTGTATCCTGTTGAGATATATTTAGTGTAGAAAATTACGCAAACTTGATTTTAAAAGGTCTTACAGAATATTTTGTCAGGATAATTTTTAGTCATGATAGACTTTTATACTTTTTGGCATATAAATCTGAAGGCCAAATTCTTCATTCAAAGTATATGGAAAAATCCCTTTAGTGTCTTTGTTACCAATAATATTCTACTGATTTTATATGGGTAACTGTGATCTGAATGGCGTCATCACACAATTTAATAGTCAGAACTTTTTGACATGATAGGCTGGCACTGAAGGAGGCCTTAAACCTGTCCCTGACGAATTTATATATATCCAAGCAATAGGCTGAATTCCTGCTTGGAGAGGGATAAAAGGCACGGACCCTTTTCAGCCCTAAACAGGCAGGCGTGGAGGCACTATGCGCTTCGGTAGGGCTGTTGCTGTATGCCTGAAGGCTGCCTACGCACACGCTGTACGCTGGCAGGACACACAGTTTACCTCTGGGGACAGCGGATGGGCAGGACTGGGCAAAGACTGGACGTCCTACATACACCTAACTCTCTTCCTGTGATGATCACTCTCAAAAGATTTGAGAAATAATCCCTTTCCCAATGAAACTGGGGAAAGCCACCCTCAGCCATGCGTCTCCACTGAGGCAGAATTCGGCCTCCTGAGATTTTTGCACCTTTGCTGGGGCCTTGACCTCCCCTCTACCCTGCATCTCTCAGAGTGGCGGGCACAGCTGGAGCGCAGCTACACCTGGAAAATCATTTTACTCTAAATGACAGTTATATTTCCTTAAAAAAAACCCGTGTCACATTCTAGTTCGTGAAAAATATAGCCAAGACAGTTTGAAGTTGCACTCCTGATAATAAATGATGCGTGTCTCAGGCAGGTTTGGGGGATATACGACTTGGACCAGAAAGAAAGACCAATTACTAGATTTGACAGCCAAAGCTCTGTTCTGTATTATGCCTTATATATAAGCTGTTCTATATTAGGCTCAAAAAAACTGCATTAAGTTTGTGCTGTTACATATCGTTTAAGATTTGTGTCTTGATTGAATGCCTTCAGAGTTCAGCAAGAGGAAAAGCCCTAGCAACAAAAATGCACGCATACACACAGGGAGGGGGGGGAAAAAAAGAGTTTTAAGTGTCTGGTAAAGTAGCAGCTTAAATGAGCATGAAGGCCGAAGATTGCTGACTGTTTTATTGAGTCACTGTTGTACGCCCACCTTTTCCTGTCTTGAAACAGTTTTCAGTTTTGACTATCTGACATGACTAACCGTTGCATATCTAACAGATTACAACTGTCAGTGAGTCTCCCAAACGGGGGCCAGCGCCTTGTGAGAATGTGTGCTTTATTTCTTTTTAATGTTTTCATTCAGCTAAAGGCTGCGGATGATCTTGTGCAATCTCTGCGTGAATTTGAACTTGGAAAAATAAAAAAAAAAATGCAGACTTACGATAGCAACATACGTGCACACAGCAGTTTCTCACCCTTACGAAAGTTGGGGGCTTTCTTAGTATTTCATAGATGGAATGTATGTAGGGGAAAAAAGTCTGTTCCAGTAATAATGATATCATCGTATTACCCCTGGCATACGAAGGATAGGAGACACTGATTCCCTGTTAAAATAACTCCCAGGAGGAAAATACATTCTTTCCTCATCTTATTGTAGTCAAGTCAAACAAATGAAATGATAAAACTGTGTGAAGTAAATAACATGTGGCCACATTCTGCTCTCTGTCACACAGCTGCAAAACTGGAGTAAATTTTTAAATTATCTGACTTGCTTTGGATTTACACCACTTTCAATACAGCAAAGAATTTGGCTTGTCCTCAGCAGTGAATCACTTTTGTTCTGTCATTGTATGATGACCCATTATTAAATAAGGAACATTTAGATTGTCAACACATGGACATATTCTTGACATAGAGTAAAACTAAAGGGGAGGAAAACTCCTATGGTCAGTTATGTTTTTAATTTTCACGATTGTGGTAACGACAGGGAATAATTTTAAACGTCTCTGATTCTTTACTGAACATGCATGTGACTGTTTTCATGTTGTAATCACTCATTCTTTGTTGTTTTTTTCCCTTTGTAGGGAAGAGCTTTACTTTGACAATAACTGTCCTGACAAATCCCCCCCAAGTCGCTACATACCACAGAGCTATAAAGGTTACAGTGGATGGGCCAAGGGAGCCAAGAAGTGAGTATTATATTCTTATTTTTGCACTTACATCTGCTTAATTTTGTTTAACAGAGACCCATAAATGAAATATATATCTTTGTCAAACATTGGTTCTTGCTCAGCAAAATATGTAAGCGCATGCTTAATTTGGAGTCTATTGGACCACACACATACTTGCATTAAACATACACTTAAGTGCTTGGCTGAATTTGGGCAATCACAAACCTGATTCTCATTCACATCAAGGTCTTGATACATTATCTGTCAGTGTAAATGAGAACTAAACCCACTGTATTTATATATAATCTGATTTAGGCATAACAGATACAATCCTGCAACATGCTGAATTCCCTAAACTAACTCCCGTAAGCTTCCAACTGAAGATGTTTAGAACAAAATAGGAGACTGATCTTTCAGGATCAGTCCTTGCGCAGAGAGAAAATATATAATATAGTGCCTTTTTGTTTGCCCTTAAATTCTTTTGCCATCAGATAATTAATGCACCTGGTTAATCTCATCATACCTGAAATTGGTTTTCAGCTATGGACTCATCATAGACCCCTGGGGGCCAAAGAAAGATAAAAAAACAGTATATCAACAGCGTGGTCTTTGTTTCTTATTTGTGCACAGAATATATATTTTATTTAAACCTAGCCCAGCAGATTTTCACTCAGCACGTTTACCTCATAGCAATGCACTTACTAACTTACTAAGAATCTATTTGCAATGATCACTGGCTATATTCTTATGACAATTTTGTTTTGTCATGTTCTAGCAGTTTTATGGGTAGCACTTATTTTTAGATACAGTCAAGTCTGGTTAATCCCTCATGATTTATATGTCTGTCTCTCTGTCTAGCACATTTAGCTGGTTACCAGTCTCATATCATATGGGTATCACTGATGAGCCAGTTCTGGAGTTTTTTTTAATCTAACTGGAGCGATTCTTTCTAAATTGATTGGATTAACCAGGTATAGCTGTATTTAAATTACATTTAGAGATTAAGAACTATTTATGAATAACCCACATTAAAAAAATCCCTGTAATGGAAGCATCTCAAATAATTATTTTGCCTTTGATCTGCACATACAAATGAGACCCTTAAGGAGCTTTCATGGAGTTTTGTTTAAAATACCACAAAGACAGAAGAAGTAGAAAGACGTAGACAGAATTCACGCAGTTAAGTGTTTCTTGTGCTGATAGATGCTGTGGTGTCACCTCCTCTTACACGGAGAGACAGGAACTGAAATGCCTTCTGTAAGAACTGTCCAGGCTGTAGAGTTTCACCTTGAATAACAGATAAGAAAAAGCAAGCAGCTATGGATAAATTTCATTACATAGATACTTGCATTGCTACCTGCTCACAGCTGAGGTGTCCATCTGTCACAGCAAGGGAATTTTTGTTCTGTCTTCTCTCCCGAGCTGAATCAGTTCCTATTTTTAACTTTCACCTGCAGCTGCTGCTCCATGTAGCTTACTTGGAGACACTGGGCAAACTGCATTCATGGAGTAAAAACCAGGGAATAAGTTATATATCATTTAGCCATTCCCATTTGGAGGCTGCTTCCATGTATGTATTGAGGCATCCCCAAAAGAAGAGATCTCCCAGCAGAGGACACAACCCCTGTGAAAGAGGAGAGCGGTTTGAAAATGATGCGGAGAATAGCGTGGACTATGCTGTGTAGCACAGAAAGGGAACCTGCTTGCATTGGGACTAACCGTTTTGGTGATCAATGGATTAAAAGTGAGGCTGTGTTCATATAAATTAATAAGATTTCCAAGTTCTGCTGGAGTTTTTTAGTTTAGACCTGAAAGGCCTCTGTACGTGATACCTGTCTGCTATTCTCATTGAATAGCTGAACCTAGGAATGCTCGGTAACTTAGTTCTTACAGCCTAGATGGGGTTATTGTGTCTTTCTTAATCTTTATTTTTTTTTAAAAAGAAAGCCAAATTTGAGCTTGAATGGCCATCTGAATTTTAATATTTTGGCTAAATACTTAGTGAAGCTCTACTCTGGCGTCAGTTTGGTTCTGCAAGTTCTGTTATTGCAGTCTGATACTTTCAAGGCTATGAGACCTCCAGAATAACTAGTTATTAAACTTGAATTTTCAGGGAAAGGGTAGCTCCAGTGAGCTGTGGGAGTTTCACTGAAGTTCTGCTTCCTTCTGAGAGCCCCTGCACTCGTGTAGATTTATTACTGTTTGGTAGTATTTGTTGAAGAAGCGTATCTGGCATTTACGTTGCTTGAGGAAAATTAGGTGGTTGGGGGCAATAAGGAATTCAAGTCAACGAGCGGCTCTGATAGCAAATGTGTTTTTCTTAACAAATTATGTATCGGCAAATAGTGCCCCTCTCTGCCAGGATCTGTATTTCACTTTGACATCCCAAGCATGTTATCCTAGTTTTCCTCTCTCTGGCAGCTCAAGCAGAGCTGTCACATCACAAACAACTTTTTTCTTAATATACACATCTGGCGTTGGCAGTTGGACCAACTTCATAAGAGCACATGATCATCATTCATTACAAGATTAAAAAGTACCCCATGGCATCATTGATGTTTTTTAACTTTGATCTTTTGCAGTTGTGATTCATCTCAGTTATAAAACTTCCCTTTAAAGGAACGCAACCGATGACTTATTAGAACCTTCATTCTAAGTAGCGTAAACATAAAATTATGCACATCTTTACAAAATGTCATTTACTTTGTTGCCAGCTTATCATTTTAAGACATGACATCATGCTTCAGATCGTGAATTTGTAAGGCTTGTTTATAGGCAAGGCACTCTGACCTTCTGTTGGCAAGTTGACTCGAGCGAACGAATGCTGCGTGCTTTCCAGCAGCAGTAGGAGCAGCAGCAATACCATGACAGATATCACAATCGTTTAGAGCCTGACTTTAAGAGTGCTGAACAGTCATGGCATGCAGTGACTCCAGTTGGTGTTTTGGATGCTCAGCACTTCAGAAAGTCAGGTTCTTAAATGTAAGTGCCATTTAGTCATATTAAACATATGCTTGTAGAAGCTTGCTGCCTTGCCTCTGGTATTATTTTAAAATATTTTAATGGAGACAGTGATGTCAGGTTGCTCTATTAGGAAAACCTGCCCATTTCTATATGAGAAAAGGTATTCTGATGATTTTTCCTTGGAAAAGATTTATTTATTTTTAACTATCTGTTTCAGTCTATGTAGATTACCATCCAGGGACATCTGCTGTGTTGCACAGTCTTTGTGCTGGACTGAGCGCATTGCACTCTGAGTGATGGAGTCTAGAGATGGGGTTGTATAAGATCTTTGGGAATCATTGGGAAATCCTGCAGATATTTTTCTCTCCTCATATCCAGGACAAAACCTCTGCCATATGCACATCTTAGCCAGCAGAGCTGCCTTCCAGCTGGGAGGGCTGAAAGAAGTTTTCCGGATAAGTAAGTTGTCATGAGGTCATAACTGACCAACAGATAGCAAGAGATCACTGTAAAGGAATTAAAAGAAGAAAAACATAGAATAAAAAAAACCCCAAACCTTTACCTAAGCCCCCCTTTAATGCCTTTGCCTTACCTCATTACAAATACAGAACTAATGATTTGTCCTTCCATAGTGGTACCTTTAGAATAGGAGACATGTCCTCCCTTCTGGCTGCTTTTGGTAGAAACCCAGTCAGGAGGGAAATCATGAGGAAGGAGGGAGGAGAGGTCTATATATTTTTATATTTTGCCTGGCTTCCAAAGACTTTAGTTCGTCTCTAATTGAAGGTAGTCTCCAAAGTCACCGACCACAATTTTCTCTATCAGCTTGAATGGAAAAGTGGTTCTGAGCTTTGAACTGAAGCGTTTCGGTAGGAGAAAAACCGCGCTATTTCATTCAGCTCCCGAATATTTCTCTGACGCTGCAGCTTGCAAGGTGCACACGTGATGAAAGGTATGAGCAAACATCGCCTTTGTGTCTGCACGCTGCAGAAGCCAGCGAAAGCCAGTGAGAGGTTCTGCTCAGCCTTTGTATTAACTGTTTGGCCTACCCGGCTTATAAAACGCAGATAAGTGATTGAGATTTTTGAGATTCCTTGACTTAGAACCACGACAGTTTTTAGGAAGTTCTCCCTCTTTTCTTTCAAAGGCAGAGGGTGGAGGGAGAAGTCTGGGGCTAGTGGAATGTGCTTTGGAGTAGAACAGCTTTAAATCTTTCAGTATTCTTGTTTTAAATTTTTTTTTCTCTTTTTTTTCTGGCCCCCCCCCCCCTTTTTTTTTTTTCACCCTCTCCCTCTTCGTGTCTCTCTCACACGTGATGAAAGGTATGAGCAAACATCGCCTTTGTGTCTGCACGCTGCAGAAGCCAGCGAAAGCCAGTGAGAGGTTCTGCTCAGCCTTTGTATTAACTGTTTGGCCTACCCGGCTTATAAAACGCAGATAAGTGATTGAGATTTTTGAGATTCCTTGACTTAGAACCACGACAGTTTTTAGGAAGTTCTCCCTCTTTTCTTTCAAAGGCAGAGGGTGGAGGGAGAAGTCTGGGGCTAGTGGAATGTGCTTTGGAGTAGAACAGCTTTAAATCTTTCAGTATTCTTGTTTTAAATTTTTTTTTCTCTTTTTTTTCTGGCCCCCCCCCCCCCCCTTTTTTTTTTTTGTTGACTGCCTGTCAGGAGCTGGGCTGGTGGCCAAGCAGGAAATGACACATCGAGAGGCATTTGTGTTGTGCAACATTTTGTGGAACTGATGCAAGGATACATTGTCTGTTTACGCATTCCTCTGCTAACAGCCTGCATGGCAGTAATTTTATTCAGGGACACATGGCATGCTACGGCAAGGAGCTAGATCCTTAACATCTCTTTATGCGGAATTATCACAGCAGTTAAAACACGCTGTGTGTCCCCCGTTTAGAATATTCTCTGGCTTGCCTTCAAAAACCACTCTACCAGCCCCCTTCTTCCCAAGAATATATTGATTTGACTGTGGTTTTTTGCACTGTGGTATATTGGGGCAGTGCAGAGAGAGAGAGTTTGCAGAACAAGAGGAAATTTTACAGG